TTACCAGTACTCTTGTACCCCGTTTATACTTCTTGTCATCTTTATTATACAACTTATTATATATGTACATCATTAGCGACACAATCAGTAAATGGGAAACAACTTTCCACTTTTACCCAGAGCCCATAATAATGTTTATCCCACGACTTTTAATTATATTTTAGTCCAAACAATTGAAAAAATCTTAATTAATTTACATGTTGACCTAAAGCATTTCTACTCACCGAAAATCGGTTTCGAGAAATTTTGAATTTAATTTTTATATAATTAATTGCATCGGCTATTTAACTAATTTATTCTACACAAGCTCATAAATATGTGTTATACTCTAGGCTCAGTTCACATGAATGCAGGAACTTTCCATAAGTAGCAAACGTAATTAATATAATTTAGTAATGTTTACTGATATTAATTCTTTATATGTTTATTCTAGGTTCCGCCTCACCTCCAACTCCTTTCACTATTGGAACGCGGTCTTCAATCATCATTCAAAAAGACAACAAAATTAAGATTATTTGAATTAAATGAAAAAAAATATATTATTTGATTTAAAAGTATTCTTGTAAATTTAATATAATTATCTTTGCAATATTTCAGCATTTTGTGGCCTCACGACGCTTCTAGTAAATTTTGTAGTGTTTCATTCGAATGTGCACGAGGACAAGATAACTTGTAAGCATAATATTTTAATGTCCTCCCTTTGTGGGAGGTCAGGTCGAGCAACACATCGATTCAAAGGCCCAAGGCACATACAATAAATGTTTCTATGATATTAGAGCGAGCCGGGAAGAAAGGGGAGGAGGAGATTGACTAGACATTATTGGCCGACTGGCGGAGATGTTGGTTGTCTAAATAAGTTAGATATAGTGAAAAATGAATAGAGGTTGGAGGCATCTGACTAGTCCTGATGCGTTGATGCATACCGGAAGCTTGTCACTGCTAGAAAAATGGTTAAATGTTTCGGAATATTTGTCGTGGTTGAATATATTGTCACAACATAATACTATAAATAAAGATAAATTAAATATACACTTTTATTATCGCAGATATTTGCAACAAATATTTATACCATTAAAAATATTATCTTCTTATATTTTTGTCACAAAATTCCGCAACGAATATAAATTTCATTAAGTTTTGTTGCAAATGCCCACGACAATGTATTAAATTAAATAATCACAAAAGTGATTCCTAAGTTTGCAACAATTTTTTTTTTTTTTTTGTCGCGAATTTGTGCCACAAATATATGAATTTAAGTAATAAATCATATGTGTTTGTGACAATTTTTGAAAAATAAATAATATAAAATTTGTTTTAGAAATTTGTGACAATTTAAAAACTAAATATTTTCTTCCAAATTTGTTACAATTATATGAAATTACTTTTTAAAAGAGTCATGAAAGAAATTCATACATAACATTTGTTGCAATAATGGTCACAACACTTAGTAATTGTCACAACACTTCATGCCAATTAAAACCTATAATGTTTAAACAATTGTAACATATGTGTATGACTATGATTCAAAACAATCAAATAATTGACACAAAATTAAAACTAACAGAATTGTTACAGAACTCCATAATAATTAATGATAACTAATTTTTTAAAGTTATTATCGCGAGTGCCTGCAACAACTTTTTGAACAAAATAATAAAAACCTTGTCGCAGTAATCCCTAATAAATTGACAACCAAATATGACTATAAACTTATAAAAAAAAAAAAAAATCCCGAAAAAAAGTCACTCAAATGAGATTTTATGAGTAAGTAAAATTGTGTAAGAGATCCCACTCAATACCATTCGTAGTTTTGTAGTAGATTAATAAATAATAATATTTTATCCGTTAGTAAAAATGTAAGAGATTTTAACATTTTTGTCATTGGATTTTATGTATAAAAAAATTGTATGTATAATAGTATATTTGTAATTTAAAAAAAAAATTAAAAGTATTTTTGTATAATACTAGCGGAAAGCCCATACTACGGTGTAATCAACGAAAAAGACTTGCAATGTATATGAACTTTTGTCATTTATTTCAAAATACACTATTCAAAATTTTTATTGATTTTATGTTTTATTTTTTTCAAATATTTTAATAGTTTCATAATTTTAAGAATTAAACTTTTTTATAAAATAATGATAATTAAATAAATAACAATGACTATAATTTTTATTGAACACAAATAAAATAATCTATTCAAATTTATAATAATAATGTTAAAACTATTTTATCATAAAATTAAACAAACATAAATTAAATTAAACTAATACTCTCTTCTTTCCTATCTAATTTTCTTTTATTAGTTTTGTATGTGACATTTAAAATTATTAGAATAAAAGAAATTATATGCTAAAGGATAAAATATTTTTAATTATTATATAAATAATAAATATACAATTACACATACAATTAATTTATATATAAAATATAAATAACAAATATATCATAATTTTTTTACACATTTCTACTAACAAAAGCATTATAAGTAATATTTTATAATCCGTTATAAAAAATAAATAAATAAATAATTACATTAAATACGAATGGAGGGAGTATTGAATTTTAAGATATCTTTTAACTTATTAATTTTTAAAAACATATATCAAACTTATCACAATTTTTTGACAAATTATATATATATATATTATGAAATATGTATATATAAATATTGTGTTTAATGTTCAGTATAAATTAATTTTAAAATTATTAAATTGGTCATTTTCAAAATATCTTTTTTTATACTTTCCGTTTATTTAATTTTTATCTACTCATATATTTTTTACTTTTAATAATATTTTATGAAATATGTTTATCAATATCAACTTTAACTACATCAAATAATTAAAAAAAAAAAAAAAACAACAACAACAAACTTCAATTCCATATTTGCTAACATTTTTTTCTATTTACATCTAACACATTTAAATTCAATTTAATATTTCTTCTTTCAACTTACCTTTTAATCGTTATCTTTTTTCTTATTTTTCTATTTATCTTTGTTTTTCACATTTCTTTTATTTCTTCTCATATCATTGCTTCTTTTATAATCTTCTCTCATCGCCCATACGAAAATGTCATCCCTACAAATATAATCAAAGATGTCGAAAGAGGACATCCTACATTTGGGAGACTTCATCAGCCACAAACTTTGAAATTACAATATGCAATTCACTGCATTAGTCTCATATTCGTCTTTAAATTTGCAAACGAATTCAATGTAATGTACATGAAATAATAACGCCTTCAACTATACATTTTCCAAATATATTAACACAAACTTCATTTTTTTAGGTATCCGAACACCATACATAAATCAAATCATACACCTATCCATTAAACTGCCACCGTCATCATTTTAGCCCCTGCTTCCCACTTCTGCATGTCATTATTGTCTGTTCAGACTCAGAGTTCCCACCGTTTCTGTATTACAGCCAATTGGCCACACTCAGATATTTTAGTGTAAATGTAAAAAAGATCCAACGGTAAGAAGTTTAAGGTAATAAGTTTGTACCCTAACTTAAACTGCATCTCAATTTCAAATTGCAAGCAATTTTCCTACCACTACAAAAATATATATATATATATATCAATTTTATAACGAGATTTTTTCGTTCTTAAATACACTTTTTCCGTTACTAATGATATTAGAGACGGAATTAGAGATGAAATTACGTTAGCTACGTGAACTTTAAGAACGAAATTCCATTACAAATATACTATTTTTTTATTTTATTTTTTTGTAGTGTACCAGAAATTGCTCTATTGCATCATATTTTTTACTAGCAAGAAACTTCTGCAGTAAGCAATGGAAATGCAGTGGGGCATTTTGAATCAAAGAGAGTTGTAGTATTTATAATTATTTAATAAATTTTAAAAGTACATAGAGATAATCTTGTAAGGTCTCTTCAACTACAACTTCTAACTTTTCATAAAACAAATTTTTAAATAAATATATTTATTTAAAATATATATACTGTTATGCTCAAACTTTTTTGTTACATAATCCTACGTTTTAGTAATTTTAATTTCAAATAAAAATTAAATTTAATATTTTATTTTCAACATAAAAATAAAATTATAATAAAATTATCAACAACAGCATGAAAAATAAATAAATTATATATTCTTATAGAATTATAATAATTATCTAAAAACTTTAATACATGTCAAATTAAATAAATAAGTTGTTTCTAAAACATTAATAAATATACATGAACTATTAATAATAATTAAAAACATATACACAATACATTTTTATAAATCATAATATTATTATTTTAAATTTTGTTGAATGGAATTGAAGATTAAAAATAAAAAATAGGATTTGATTGGAATCAATTTTAATGTTTTCTCTAGGATATACTATTATACTACTTTTCACTTACATATATAATATTCTTACTTATTAAATGATAAATCATATTTAATTTTATGATGATAGATCTACAATAGAAAAAATAAAAATTTAGAATACAATTACATTACATAAAAAAAATTAAAAATACAATTACATTACATACAAACTTTTATGTATTGTAAAATAAATTTATTATATAAGTACGAAACAAACAATTTTAAAAATATATATGCAATAATTATTATAGATGACTTAGAATTGCAATACCCAATCATATATCAAAATCAATCAAAATAAAAAATAAATATATATACATAAAATTGCTCAAAATTTAAGGTTTACATTTAATGGACTCACACTGCTTTGAAACATAAGAAAAGCACCCGTGGCCACTACATGGATAATTTATATTTTTTATATTAAAAATAAAAAAATATACTAATATATAAATTAAAAATTTTCATGAGACTAAAAAAGTCAATTTACCCTAATAATTATTATGTATCATCTACCTCTCATATAACCAATCAAAATTTTCTACCAATAAAAAAATTAAAAAAAAAATTCAAAAATTGTTAGAAATTCTTGCTTTTCATTTAGTGGGACCCATAATAAGTTCAAATATTGAGTTGAGGCGAGAGAATATAAGGTTTAGTAACCTCCACCAATTGTCAAACAAATCATCCTTCTTGTTGCTTTCAGCTACTTCATGTTGTTCAACCACAGACAGCAGCCATAAGGGACAACATAGTAAATAGTTTCAAAAAAAAACATTTCAACGATAGCCAAAAACAAAAAATAATGTCGAATTCTGGTAAATACCCTCCAAGAAGTTGTAACCTTCAGCCTTAATTGGCCATGGTCCAGATTTATTAGCATCATCACAGTCACAGAACTGAAGAACTCAAACACAAAATTAAGTCGAACTACTTGAGGTTGGCGGACGACAGCATGCGCGGAAGATCATCCTTTTCGACAGCCATTAGTACATCATGTACCCTCTGCAAGAACACAGGACTTAGATCATACACTAGCTCAAGAATATAAGTGAATCGCATTCAAGAAAAAAGTCGATCATCGGAATATAAATTTTAAAATTTAAATAATAGAAACACCCTTATAGTTTTAATTAAAAAAGGCAAAATTGCCCATAACTCCCTTGTGGTTTTGAAACTCAGCGTAAATTCCCCTCTCCTTTAAAAATTGCATGGTACCCCCTTATACTTTAAAAAATATTGCATGAAACCACTTTGTGGTTTCAAAACTCAGCATAAATCCCCATTTTACTTTAAAAAATTGCATGACGCTCACTTATACTTTCAAAAATATTGCATAAAACCCCCTGCCATGCAAAACATATAGATAGGAAATCATTTTTTTATCACATGAGGAAAGTTTCATGGTGGTGGGGTTTCATGCAATGTTTTTTAAAGTATAAGGGGGTACCATGCAATTTTTAAAGTAGAGGGGGAATTTACGCTGAGTTTCGAAACCACAAGGGGATTTATGGGCAATTTTGCCTTAAAAAAAATATTATTATTACACATTTAATTCAAACACTCCAAATATTTAGAAATATTTGAAAAGGCTAAAACGAGATAAAACCAACTAAAAGGTTGTCTATAATTGTTTTTTAAAATATATTATATATAATTTTAAAATTATTTTATATTATATATAAAAGGAAAAGTTTCGGCCCTTCGCCAAAACATTTTTCTAACTTCACCACTGATTGGTATGGTAGAAAAAAGACATTAGATCCGAGAACTTACCTTCAACAACAAAGACTCGCTAGTTGGATGGAGATAATCTCTAGCAATCTGCCTTTCAAGAAGCAAATGTGTCTGAACCTGGATTTGCCGAAATAAATGTTACTAATTCATGATGCGCACGTGCAAGTTCAATGTTGTTTATCGAGAAATATGCTTAATTACCTTCGCCATATAGGCACGGGTGTCATCCCTACAAATCCAGCCTGAAGCATTCCACTTATAGTAGGCAGCCACATTGTCGAGCATCGGTGTTTCAAAGTCATGCTTATATACAAACAAGGATCCCATTCCAAACTCAACAAAAATCTCAACAACATTCTTCATTAATTCGTGATCTATTAATTGTCCTTGTCGTAATCTACCAAGCTGATCGAAAAAAAAAAAAAAAAAAAAAAAAAAAAAACGTTAGCTCTAATAGAAATTATAGAAGTTTTGGAGTAATAGCAAAATATTGGGTATTTGACAAAAAAAATTACTGATAACAAATAGTACCAAAAGTTATAGGGTAAATTATATACACCTGTTTGTATTTTAGTAAAAATGTATAAAATACCCTGTGTTTTATTTATTGCATGAAACCACATTGTATTAATATAAAGTTTTCACGAAATACCATTTTCATCCAAAATTGATATTTGATTGCAAACATGAACTCAATAATGCAAGTTTTATACAAATAAAAGAAATACAAGATCTTAAATAATTTTTTTAAATAAAATAAATAAATAAATAATCCTTCATTTTATAAGAGTAATCTAAAACCTCGCAGAAATGAGAGTAATAAAATGCAAGGCGTACCAAAGCTATAGCAGCATTAACTATTTCCACTTTATTCGTCTTGTAAACCTGAAATCAGAATCCGATTGGGTTAATATAGATTAGGGACGAGTAAAGAAATTAAATAATACCATAATCGAGTTGTTAAATGAGGCTACCAGGTCATAGAAGCATATCACAGCCAGCTCCCCAAGTGCTGGAGACTTATGTCGATGTACAAAGTAGCGGTCAAGATATCTAAAGATTCTACCAAGCGAATTCGCCATAGATTGATGATTCTTCCACCTTTTAACAAGCTCCTTCAAAAGGTTTTCGTCGCACTTTCCCATCAAAGAAGGCTGGACCTGAAAAAGGAGAGGAGTAAATTCGACATCAATGTAAAGGATAATAATAATATAGGTGTGAAAGAATAAAATTTATTCGAAATTATTAAGCTTAAAACATGCCATAATCATAAAATTCATGTAAACTTTCAACTACTCATATAACTACTAATTACATGTGATTCTATAAATGAATACCGAATCCTATAACCTTATTTATCAAAATAAATGACCTCGGACAATTAAAACATGTAACTATAGCAACCGGTAATAATAATCCTACTCATAATTATATTCTATAAAGAATATAATGAATACAAAAATCATTGGCCATGCCTTCACTTAGTGCGCCACTGACAACTATGATCAATAATGAATACAACCAATTTCAATGCATCGATCAAAAGCAACAACTGAGATAATTAACCCTTTCGGGTTTCAACTAAAATATTGGACATGTACTTTTCGAGTGTTGTTCAAGAAGATCTAAAAAAAACACAGCTGAGATGAGTAAGGCGTCAAATTAATGTCATCCTCGAATTCGATAACACATAAATATTCAGTTATTACAAACACATGGACATAGTAGAGGGCTTATAAAGTCATGCCATTAAATGGGAAAACACTGTGTGTTTGTTTTGTGAGTTTTTGGAAAATAATTTTTTTTATGTGAAGTATAAAGAATTGTGTATGAAATATAAAAATAATGAATGTGTATAGTGTATTAATTTTTTGGAGAAAACGTGTAGAAAAAAACTTTAAAAGAACAAAGCAGACATGTTCTTACCGTTAATACGAGGTATTCTTTGATAGACTTCCCGTAATGCTCATACAATTTTGGAGCACAATCATATGGACCATTTTGGTTACACATCATATATGCCAACCTGCGGATAAATATGAATGATAATGATTAATAATCGACACTTTCGCAATCTTAAAGTCATAGTTGTAAATGGGGCACGCGCTAAGGCTTGAAACCATTAGTATACTTTTAGTATGCATAATACATATATAGTATCGAACAAAAATGAACTTCAATATACACAGTATAAAATATCAAATAGAAACATAAAAGGGAAATAAAACAATTTATGCATAAGCAGTGACACAAACCCTAAACTAAAAAAAACATAAGATAAAAGTTTATGAGAAAAAAAGAGACAGCCATTGCTTTACACGGCGCAATGGAAGGCGAAAGAAAGTGATTAGATCAAAGAAGAAGATTTAAGCCTAATCAAGAAAACAAAAAACCCTAACCCTAATTAACCCTAATCAACATAACTAAATAACAAAACCATTGCACCTTGCGCCGCGGCAATGAAGCATAAGCCGTGCGCATTGCCATATCAATTGCAAATGGCAGACGGCGACGTATACAACTATTCTTAAATTTATACAATATATACTTATCTATATTTGAAATTCAAAGCATTAAAGCAATACGTATAGAGACTGAAGACTTCGGATGGGTTTATAAGTGGCGTCGATCCTTGATCAAGATTATTAATAATCTTTGTAATCCCTTCTTGTAGGTATGGCCATCCTTCCTCGAAAGAAATCGGCCCCTTCCCCTTCCAACTCATTGTCAGCTCTAGCAAATTCAAAGCCCTGAATAATAGAAAGTCACAAATTAACGCAGCTTGAAATAAATGGCGCGGACTTAAGGAGAAAGAAAACAACAAGAAGCTAGGATCATCAAACTCAACATTCATAAAAACCAAAAATTATCTATAGCAGTAGAATTATATCCTAACACCTAAATCCATAATTAATTTTACATTACAGTATGAGTTCATCATTATAATCAAACATAGAGACGACTAAATATCCTCTTTAGAAGATTAACTCTACAAGAAATCCGTACAGGCCTAATTAACTACATAACTGCAAATTAAATGAAAATGAAAATCCTCATAAAGTTAACAGCTACCAGTGGCTATGGATTAATCATCATATATAACAAAAAACTAACAATCAAAACAAGAATCAGCTACAATACTACCAAAACCATCAATTAAATATCACAAATCTACGTATCCACCAAATGAAAATAACAAAAAAACCCCAGGAACACTGAATGCCAAAAAATAATTCTCCTGAAAGCGTAATTAGGCGAAATACAAACCGTTTACCAAAATCAAGATGAAATTAATTAACTAAGAAAGAAACGAAGCCCAATCGAAATCTTGGGCATAAAACCGCCGCAATTAACCGTACCATTTCAACGATTATCAACAAGCACAACGCTGATCGATCGCACAATAAAAACAACTACGATTACAGAATCAGAATAACGCTTAAACCCCGTAAAATCGAATCGGAGGAGATGAGAAGAAGGTAAACGTACATGGAGAGAGAGGTTTCTTGCGATTAATAAGTTGAGAGTGAGAGCGAGAGTGAGAATGCATTCGTGCAGTGTATGGATGGCAGTCTCGAGCGATATTTACAGCAGGGTTTTACTGGGCTTTTTCAAGATATTTACAGCTGAGTTTTACTGGGCTTTTTGAAAAAATTGGCTAAGTCAAAGTATCATTAAGTCAAAGTATTATTTAAAAATTTAGCTTTCAAACGAACTTTTAAAATTACTATATTTATAAATTATAAGAGTTTTCAAAAACTACTATAAGTAAAATAATATTTCAAAGTATCTATTTTTTAATTTTAATCTGTCTAAAGCATTTTTAGTAGTACGATTTTTACAATTTACAATATATTATACAAATATCGTTACTTTTATATCACACGATACTGATAAGGTTATTTTAGTTATTTTTATTTTATTTTTACTTATATCTCAATATAATACTAATATTTCATGCAAAAAGCAAACGGATACATAGTTATGGGACGAAGATAGTAGAAGTTTTGAAAACACCCGAAATATTAAATATAGGGATATTCAAACATTTTATTTTCTCTTCCAACCTCGTACCGTCACATTAAATATCATCAATATAGGATAATTATAAGATTTCTCAAAACTTGTGGTGATTTAGAAGTTTTGAAAACACCTGAAATATTAAATATAGGGATATTCAAACATTTTATTTTCTCTTCCAACCTCGTACCGTCACATTAAATGTCATCAATATAGGAGAATTATAAGATTTCTCAAAACTCGTGGTGATTTAGAAGTTTTGAAAACACCTGAAATATTAAATATAGGGATATTCAAAAATTTTATTTTCTCTTCCAACCTCGTACCGTCGCATTAAATATCATCAATATAGGAGAACTATAAGATTTCTCAAAACTCATGGTGATTTAGAAGTTTTAAAAAAATTCATATAAAGTACTTGTGAGAACCCTTATATATTTTACGGCCCACGGTGCCATTAATAAAAAAAAAAATTACTCCATATCATTTATCTCAAAATAAATTATTATAGAATTTTTTTTATTAATTTTATATTTATTTTCAAATGTTTTAATAAATTTAAGAATCATAATATTTTATAATAAAATAATAATAATAAAATAAATAACAATGAAATAACTTTTTTAAGAAAAATAATATTATTTAAAATAAATTTAAATAATTCAAATGAATATCTAATAATAAAATTATAATTTGCTTTATTTACTTGGAATAAAAAATGTAATATAAATTAGGTTGTGTAAACAAAATTATACTTACTAAAATATAATTATATATAATACCATGATAGTAAATAAATATAAAATATAAATATTATATCATTGATAATTACTAAAAAAAATATTATATTTTTTTTTTATTATAAGGCGAGAATTGCATTTTTTTTCTTGTTATAATATTAGTGTTTTCAAAATAAAAATTAATATACTATATAATTAAAAAAATAAAATATGTATTTTAATAGTTTAAATACTATTTTTTCAATAAAATATATAATATGAATTAAATTTGGTAGAAAATAAAATTTTATATTTTAATACAATGAAAGAAATATTAAACTATCAATTTATAATTTGCAAAAAAAAACTGGATAATTTATTGTAATATAAAAAATATATATATAATTATTTATATACATAATAAAAATTATAAAAATATATATATAATATTATCAATAAAAAAAATATTATCAATAAAAAAATTATCAAAAAGTATTTGGATTCCAACTTTATGGCTGTGCAGAAAAAACACAACAAAATTTAAAAAAAACCAAAAAAAATCTAAAAATTATAAAAATATTATCAATAAAACACAAATATTATCAATAAAAAAATTTTATCAATAAAAAAAATATTATCAAAAAAGTTTTGTGATTCCAATTTTATGACTGCGCAGGAAAAACACAACAAAATAAACAATTTAGAAAAACCAAAAAATCTAAAAATTATAAAAATATATATATATATAAATATTATCAATAAAGAATAATAACAAAATAACTCAATATTATCAATAAAAACAATATTATCAATAAAAAAAATTATCAAAAAAGTATTTGAGATTCCAAGCTGCTTAGAAAAAACACAACAAAATAAAAATAATATAAAATCTAAAAATTATAAAAATAAAAATATTATAAAAAAATTATAAAAATAAAAAACACAACAAAATAAACAATTTAGAAAAAACCAAAAAAAATCTAAAAAATTATAAAAATATATAAAAAAAAATATCAAAACAACTCAATATTATCAATAAAAAAATATTATCAATAAAAAAAAAAACTATCAAAAAAGTAACAGCATCAATAATAATAAATGTCAATATTTTTATTCTCACCTTTTAGCCGCATTACCCTTCCCTCAGATGTCTTCTGTTTTTTCTTTTAACAGAAATAGATGAACGGTGTTCAATGCATATCTATATATATATATATATAAATAAATAAATAAGCAGTTTTCCTCCACTAACATTAAAACCACTGTCTCACTATTTTAAAATGGTCATTCACATCCTCTATAATTTATTTTGATAATTAAAAATAATAATAAACTCTAAATCTAAGAATAAAAATTAAAAAACTTGTAATTAAAAAAAAAACCAAAAAAATCTCAAAATTCTGAGATGGCATAATTACAGAATTTTACAAAAAAAAAAATGGGATCCACGCTTGAGCTCTTATATATATATATAATATGATATGATATATGATTATAGAAGTTTTGATAATTTCTATATTTTTTAATTTTAATTCTTAAACTACTGTATTCCAAATTTTGTATATGATGTCTTTGTTTCTTAAACAAATTTTCTCTTTAAATATCCATTTTTCAAGTATTAATTTTATTTATTTTTTTTGACTAAATTACTTTATAGTTTTTATACAATATTTTGTTTTATATTATTTGTAAGCAATATTTTGTTTTCTATTGTATATAAAATAAATAATTAATACAAAAAAAAACAATATATGAAAGTAATACTATTATAAAAAATAATAATAATAATCCACATAAATGCATTATACATTTAAATAATACAATAAATATAAACTTAGAAATTACACCAAAATAAACAATTACATACTCCATCCGTCCCATTGAAATGTTATCATTTTCGATTTTCGTCCGTCCCAAAACAAGGTTACCATTTTCTAATTTAGTAATTGTACTATCTACTTAACATAATAAATACCCTTTCATCTTACAATATAGTACACAAATATCATTACTTTTATATTACACCGTACTAATAGGGGTATTTTTGTCTTTTTAACTATAGTCAAATATAATATTAATATTCAAAAATCTACGTATAAAAAGAAAACGCCACCCTTCCAATGAGACGGAGGGAATATGACAAAATACAATGCACAACCACTAAACAACTAACTTATTAAAGCTAATGCCAAAATAAATATCATATAAAAATAATATTGTAATCAAACAAAAAATATACATTATATTAAAAAAATAGCTTATTAACAATATAAAATAAAATATTGTACTTCCTCTGTTCCGGTGCAAGATTGTCGTTTACTTTTTGCACGTAGATTTTTTAATATCAGTATTATAATGGATTGTAGTGAAAAAGACGAAAATACCTATATTAGTATTGTGTAATATAAAAGTAATGACATTTGTGTAATATAGTGTAAGATGGAAGAATATTTATTATGTTAGATAGGTGGTACAATTACTAAATTAGGAAATGGTAACCTTATTTTGGGACGAACGAAAATGGAAAATGATAACATTTCAATAGGACGGAGGGAGTATAAAGATTATAAATAATTTAGTCCAAAAAATAATATCCTGATATAGAATTTTTTGAAAAGAAATTTTACTTAGGAAATGAAAGACACGCCACATACAAATATTCAAAATACAACAAAATTATTTAAGAAAATTTAAAGGGTAACTTATATAAAACTCCATTGTATTTTAGTTAAAAGGCATAAAACACATCGTATTTTATTTATTGCATGAAATTCCCTTGTGTTAATGTAAAATTTGCACGAAACACCATTTTCGTCCAAAACTGATATTTGATTGTAAATATGAACTTAATAATGCAATACAAATAAAAATGATAAAATATCTTAAATATTTTTTTGAATAAAATAAATATATAAATAATTTATTAATCTTTCATTTTATAATTTTTTGGAAACAAATTGCTATCTCATTTTTACAAAATTATAAAAATAAATAATTGATCAATTATTCATTTATTTATTTTATTCAAAAAAAAATATATTTAAGATATTTTAGGTATTTTATTTGTATAAAACTTGCATAATTTAGTTATTTATTTAGAACTTTGGATAAGGAGAATGTTTTATACAAATTTTAAAATAATATAAGAAAATTTCATGCAATAAATAAAATACAAAATATTTTATGCATTTTTACTAAAAACACATAGAGTGTTATATAATTTACTGAAGTTTAAATTAAAATTAAAAGTGTGGAGTTCTCAAAACTCCTGTAATTAAAAATACAAAAGTTTTTAGAACTACTTTAAATAAAAAGGTTTTCTATTACGGTATATAGTTAGAAGAGAAAATAAAAGTTCTAAAAATTCATATCTTTAATATTTTAAGTGTTTTTTCAGAACTTTTATGTTTTTATATTTAAGAGTTTTGAAAATTCTTAGGTTGTGTTCTTTTGTAAGTTTTACCACATATGTTTACTATTGAGATTCTTTTCTTTTTTCAAAAATATTACATCAAGCAATTAATTTTTTTATATTATACTATAAATTTATTTTACATTCAAAACATCATATCAATATTTATTTATATCACATCAAATAATTATTCAAATACAACTTTTTACTGTTCAAAAATCAAAACCCAAAATCTCAAACCCACAAACAAACACACCCTTACATTTTATAAATATATGAGTTTCCAAAACTCCTTTCAAGACTAAATCTTTACAACAATGTTTGACTTGGGTCATTATTTTAAAAAACCTCATTTTACTTGCTTGTTTAAGCGTGTGTTATTTTATACTCCCTTCGTCCAGCTAGAAAGTATACATGTTTCTATTTTGGGATGTCTAGTTACAAAGTAAACATTTCATTAAATACTTTGCTTTTTTCCACAAATACCCTTACTTTACATCACATCATTACTTTTACACTAAAAAAGCAAGGGCAAAAATATCATTACACTACTTTTAACTACCCACTATAATTAAAATACTATTATTTCTTAAACACCGCGCCGAAAGTAATTGAATACTTTTCTTGTGGACGGAGGGAGTAAAATTTTACCAAATTTTTATTATTTATTACTCTTTCTTCCACGGTCTACGCTTTCTATTTTCATATAATTATTTTCACTAATACATTTCTTACTTACTTACTAATTACTCAATACCTAAAACTCTATGCCTAAGCTAAGGTGAATAATTTTAAGTGGGACGGGGCTGTAGTATATTTTTCTAACAATATCAAATTGAATATTTATTTTTAAATTTTTATATTATACTAAAAATTAATTTTATATTCAAAACTTCGTACAACTATTCAAATTTAAGAGGTAAACTATTCAAATTTCAAATTAAAATCCAAATTTCCAAACAAACACACCCTAAATTTTCATCTGAAAATATTGATTCTATAACTTTTATTTAAATATATTTTTATTTACGTGCTTAATTATTATTATGTAAAATATTACTTCTTCTGTCTCATGTATATGCCTTTTTTCCACTCTGGTCCGTCCATCTACATACAATATTTTTTAAATAAAAAATAATTAATAGTATATTTTATATTATCACACTATTCAAATAAAATAAATAAATAAATATATACTCTCTCCATTCTAATACAATAGTTGTGTTTACCTTGTTCGTCTCAAAATAATAATCTCATTTTCATAAATAATCATATCACTATAAAATTATTCTTACTTTTTCATTATTATTATACAATTATCACTACTTTTTACACTAATGCACTCAAAAGGACAAAAAAGTATTTTACCCGTACTTTTTACTCACTATCAATATAATATCAATATTTTTAAATTCTATGTCAAACACAACTCAAACTATTCTGGGACGGAGGGAGTATATATTGTAAAATTTTTATTATTTTTAAATCATACAAAATATTAAAATACAAGTAAATATGTTTCTTTGAATTTGATTTTATTTTTAAATTTTTAAATTTTTTATTTAAATAATATTTTGATATGATATTTTATGAGAAAAAATAATACTATACTAAAATTAAGCCGTGGGAGTTCTAAATATTCTCGAGATAAATAGTGGTGTCTCCTATTTTATTCATTATAAATGAAAGTATCAACGTAATTTGATAGTCATTTGGTCTAAATGAATCGTATGACTGAATAGTTATTTTTATTTGAAAAGTTTATTTATTTATTTTTTTATTTCAAATCCAAAAAGTATTATTCAATTTTTATGATTTTTTAAAATATATATTATTTTATCTTATTAAATACATATTATAAATATTAAATTTAAATAGTTTATTCTCTTAATAATTTTTTATTGCATTATTCTCATGTGTATTGCCAAAAATAAAATATATATACACATCAATATAATATACTATTTTTTCCGTCTCAACTACCGTGTCCCTTTGTAAACACAGGAATTTAGGATGATATAATAAGTAAATAATTAAAAATATATTATTGAAAACAATAATAGTATAATAAAAATAATTCTAAATTAATATTAATATTAATATAACTAATTACTCTAATTAAAATTAAAAAAATTATAAATTAAAAAACTTAAAATGTAATTAAATTGTATAATTCTTTTCCAAAAACGCAAAGTGACAGAATAAGTGGGATCAACGAAAATGAAAATGTGAACATGGTAAATAAAACGGAAATAGTATATAATATATAATTTATCCATTCACAAAAGTAATAATAATTCAATAAAAACATACTTCCTCCGTCCCATAACAAAGTATCCATTTTTTCATTTTAGTCTGTTCTATAACAAAGTATCCATTTTCTTTTTTAGTAACTGTACTATCTACCTAACATTACAAATACCCTTACAACTTACAATATATTACACAAATGTCATTACTTTTATATCACACGTACTAATAAGGTTATTTTAGTCATTTCTACTTTATTCCTACTATATCCCAATATAATACTAATATTTCTAAAACTACGTATAAAAAGCAAATAGACACTTATTTCTGGGTTGGATGGAGTATTATTTTAATTCTTTATTATATAATTATTATAATTGTTTATAAAAATATATTTTCTTCCTAGGATTATTTATGTTATAATATCCTCCATAAAGACTAAAAATAATAATATTTTAATAAAAAAGTGAAATAAATAAAAAATAAAATAAACATATAATGAAAATTTATTAAAGTGTTAATAATAAGATAGTATGATAATAAATAAAAAAAAAATGAAGTGATAAATTAATTATTATTTTATTAATCATATTGTAACGAAATAAAATTATTAACTTAAGTGATTAATTATTGGTGAATCTCATTTTTCATTCTAAAAGTTGTATTGAACAATTATTTTTATTATTATAAAACTTAGAGACACTCCCTCCCTGGCTTTTGATATAAACTTCTAACCCTTAATTTCATTTACCTTTGTGTAATTATAATTATTAGATATCAAATTAGTTTTATCAAATTAGTTTCCTACTCTGTTTACTTAGTAAGATTTTATCTCTAATTTTACTTTTGATTTTATTATTCCAATTGTCTTTTTTCTCCAACATCAAATCAAACATCAAATAGGATACGTTAGCTCTGGACCCGCTCCAGGTCTGGTCTTAATGGACGGGTTCGGGTATAAAATATTTGGTTTGGATCGGGTTGTAGATTTTGCATTTTAGATCTGGCTGGGTTCCGGGCGGCTTACGGGTTTTACTATAAATACTCTGCACCCCGGATCTGGACCCGAACCCAGATATTTTAATAATGATTATAATTTATTTATATTTTTATACAATATAAATTATAGTATATATTTATTTAAAAAAATTTAAATATAAAATAGAACTTTAATTCTAAATCAAATTTATTTTCGCATTTATTTCTCTTACAATTCTCTTTATAGTCGAGACTACTGCTGACCGCTATCACTACGGACTATCGTCAATATTTGATTGTTCTTATTTTTAAAACTATAATTTTTTGGTACTTTGACACATACTTGTTTTAGTATTAAATTAATTTTTAAAAATTATTTTATTCTTTTATTTAAAAAAAAAAAAAAAAAAACGGGTTTTTCGTGTTGGCCCGGACCCAGAGGGTTCGGAGCTGGACGGATTCTAAGACCGGGTTGAAGCTAGGCGGGACAGGTATTGGGCTCTAATATTTTATAGCGGAGCGGGTCTCAGGGCCTGCAAAATCCGTCCCGAACCCGGCCCGTTGACATCCCTATTGTAAGTAAGGATGTCGATGACCCGAGACCCGAACACTTCTTGTTGGACCAAAGATCCAAATTGGATTCGACTATATCGGAATCCGATTCAAACAATACCCGACAAGATCCGATGGATCCAAAAATTTAATTACAATTCTTAAAATTTAACTCAAAATTAGATCCAAACCCGGACCCAATATATATTAAAATTTATGTATTTTATTCAAAAATATTATAACAAGATAATTAATTAAGTAATTAAACTAAACATATTTTTGAATTTAATTTATATTATTAAAAATTATTTTTTCAAGTATATAATTATATATTATTTGGGTTTGGATCCGGGTAAGATCCACCCTTGGATCCGTGACCTGATAAAAGTATAATATACCCAACTGAAACCCAATACCCGAAAAATTGACCCGACTCCAAATAAATATTTCAAATCCGAATCGAATCGGGTCTCCCCTGATCCATCGTCATCCCTAATTGTAAGACTATAGATTATATGAACTTATATTTTAATTCAGCATTGCTGAATATAATTTTAGGCACTAACTTTATATTTAATATTTATAATCCCAAGACGCACTAATAAACTAATTCGATATCAATGTGATCTATTGCTGCGAAGATAAATTCGTAGTTGTCACGTCGTCATAAATTCAAACTTACAACGTATATCAACGTATAGTTCGCTTAGTGTAAATTATCGGGCCTAGATTTTGCAAGCCCAAATTTACCCAGAGCCCATACAAAGAGTAGACTTAGGAAAATCTAAAAGTAACTCCGTTGATTTATCTAGAAAAAAACAAACAAACAAACAAACTCTGAGTGAAAAGCAAATCTATTGAGATAAAACAACTCAAGTTTCAGATTCAGATTCACATTCAGGAATCATTTCCAAAAACAAGAACTATCACACACACCTGTTTATTTCGTTGCATTCACGGACAAACTTCCGAAGGTATCCATCCAGCCGGTCTCATGCCTCGAACGTCATGCTTTCTGCCTCCTTCCTTACGGATTCAAACAGCACAGACGAGAGGTATCGCTCCCCAAAGCTTGGGAATATCACCTGCAAGAATCGAATATCAATGCCAAATTACGAACAAATATCATATGGTTGGTTACACAGAAAATGAGTTCCTATTTGTTGTCATCCTCGCGCATATCAAAGCCATGAAAAGGCGAAAGTATACATTTTCTCGAAAAATACAAGAAACCATTCCTCATCTACGGCAGAAACCTTTTCTTTTTTGTTTTTGGGAATGTGGATTTGAGCAAAGGCGGAATTGAAGTGAAAGAAACATCTGCTTTGAAATAATGTAGACTGACTTAGTGTTATGCATAGAAGGTCTGGAATTTTGAAAAATTTTGGAAATAGTAAAAAAATTGAGTATTTAATATACGAGAAAGAAAAAATATATTTAATGTAATAGTGTTTTGAAAAAATTATTGGTCATGAATAATACCAAAAGTTTCAAAAATATCCATATAAACAGATCGTGAATTTGGAACAACTTGAGCCTTTTGTCAAAGAAGAAACAGAAATAGTTCTATGAACTTACCACGATGAGTTTTCCAGCATTTTCAGGTCGCTTCGCAATCTTAACTGCAGCTGCTGCCGCGGCGCCAGATGATATTCCAACCTGCAAAAACATTTTCAATTGGAGAGACTGAAAATGGAGAAACAAGATATCTTACTATGTTGTGTGTGTATGAACCGAGACAATCGAACTTACCAATAAACCCTCTTTCAATGCAAGGAGCTTTGCAGTCTCTATAGCCTCGTCGCTTGAAATCTGTCGGAGATACAGCAGAAATAATACATGAATTACAGGTTATTTCTAAAATCGATCAAAACCTGACAGAAAAGTTAAGAAACATTGTCTCACTTGAACAACTTCATCAATGAGATCAACTTCCAGAACACCAGGGATAAAACCAGCACCGATTCCTTGGATCTTATGCGGACCTTTCGAATTAAGTAAAATATAATGATTAACAAGTTCGATAACTTTATCGCTCAACATAACCCATTTATTGGAGTCATTTATAATATTAGAACTCAAAAGTTTTTTGTTTACTTGTGTTTTCAAGTTTATTTTCGCACTATTAGTTGAAAATTCTCTAAAAAAAAATGGCATAACATTCGATGCATCCGTTACAGCTATTATATATCACAAAAACCTGTTCCAATTTAAAACACAACATTCAACACCTATTTACATTACACCCAACACCTATTTTCTATTCAACTTTCTATTATTCTCGAAAAAATCCAAAACACCAAAATACTTTTAAACCGAAAGAAGAACAAATAAATAAATAAACAAAGGCCAATAGGAACAAACCCATAATCAATACTAAGAAAAAGGCTACATACATTGCAAGTAAAAAAAACACAAGACAAGTATCAGATGAAAATCTATCGAAGAGACTAACCGGGTTTTCCTCCAGAAAGAACAGGGCTTTCAACCGGCTCCACGCCAATTAACTAAAAGACCAATAGACATAAAAGAAGGGAAAAATGAGAAAATCACAAGACAATAAAAAACAACAAATAATAATTTGCCGAACATTGCTGAGAACTCTAATGCAAATCTAATCGAAAGGATTACCGAACCTTTATGTTAGGATTCTGTTCTTTAAGATACTTCCCAGCTCCCGTGATAGTGCCTCCCGTCCCAATTCCAGATATAAAGAAATCAATTTTCCCATCTGTTCCTTTCCAAATCTCAGGTCCCGTTGTTTCATAGTGTATCTATACGTACATAACATTCAATTTGATTAAATTCAATCTCTCAAACAAGAAGCAATCTCACTTAAAATAAATACGGAAATACAGCTCAGTACCTTAGGATTTGCGGAGTTTTCAAACTGCTGAAGGATGTAGGAATTCGGCGTCTTCTCCCGTATCTCTTCAGCCTTCTGAACAGCACCTTTCATTCCCTTGGCAGGATCGGTTAGCACCAACTCTGCCCCAAAAGCACGGAGAATGATTCTGCGCTCGAGGCTCATAGAAGAAGGCATAGTTATTATAAGTTTGTAGCCCTTCGCAGCAGCCATGAATGCCAAGCCTATGCCCGTGTTCCCGCTCGTAGGTTCAATGAGCACACTCTTAATTTTATCAAATAAATTCGACAAAAAAGTTAAAAACTATCAATCAAATATACTACAGTTAATAAACCAAACTTCATGCTAATTACCTCCCCCGGTTTAATGAGCCCTTGTGCCTCAGCATCCTTAATCATACTATAGCCGATTCTGCACCAAACATGACCACCGAAATCACAATATATTTACCTAAATACAATCCTTCCCGCATCTACAATCATTTAGTTGTATTCTTTTGTGAATTTTTCAAGATTTTTTACTATTCAATTAAGTTTTTCTCAAGAAATATCAAATTAAACCACTTTTCTTATATTACACTAAAAATTAATTTTACATTCAACATATCACATTCGTATTTTTTTTATCGGACACCAACACTTGTTCATATCACGTCAAAGAATAGTTCAAATTCAAACTTTTACTATTCAAAAAATCCAAACCCACAAACACATATGCCAAGTTATTACGAAAGGTAATACCTATCTTTGACACTGGAGCACGGCTCCATCGATTCCAGCTTGGCCGCAACACGCCCAACACAACCATCGACGATATTGTTCAAGTAAACCAGTGGAGTTCTACCAATTAACTACAAATATTACTCAGAAAATTTACCATTAGCCATTGAATCACATAGCAAGATGAAAAGAAAGGTAACAGATCGATTTACAGTGTGCAGCAGCAAATACTAACCTCAGTAACATCCTTTGCAATTCCACTCTTTCCCTCAGCCATTTCTGTTTATCGAATCTGCAGACAAAATCGCAAGGAACTTTAGCCAATTAAAAATGTGAATTAACTCAACTCAATTAACAACTTATCATAGCAAAATGTAAAACAACAATCGGTAATAAAAATCCCCAAATAAGAACTAACACTGTCAGATCTATCACCAATCTATCAACAAATTCAAGTAAATTTATTGGAAATAGAAAACCACAGTTCTATTCATAAGCTGCCGCCTTCACCAACTACAACAACAATATTAAGCAGATAAATTTGAAATCAAACCCTAATAAAAGCACGCATCAATTAAACTGCATCTCAACAAATTCAGATAAAAATTTTCCCAATATTCGATCAAATTTCCCTTTTCTTCTGATGTATGCAATTTGAAGCAGAAATTCAAAAAATAAAACATAAAATCGGCCGTTTCAAAGCACTCGAATATTGATGAGCTCAACAGTATTTGAGATCAGAAAAAGTAAACCACCTCTTAATCGAAAACCCGTTTATGGTCGTCTGCAAGAACGCGAATTGGAATTATCCGTGGAATGGGGTTTATGGTTTGATAAGATAAATGAAATGAACGATGATGGCTAGGTTGTGTTTTTCTCTGTTTTTTGTGTTTGTTGTTTTTTCTTTTTTCTTTTTTTAATATATTAAAATAATTTAAGTCGGCTTGAAAAGTATAATTGGAATTTGAAAGTCTAAAGTTGATTGTAAATAATGTTCGAAAAAAAATTGGTTTGAGTTTGGTATGAAAGTAATTTTTGATGAAATATTTTGTAAAGAGAAAAATATATTTTTTTTTAAAAATACAGAATTCAAATAGTAAAATTTGGAAAAACTCGACTAAAGAAAAATACTCTAAATTATGGTTCAAAATTCTTAGTATACAATATAAAATTTAAAATATTACTCCCTCTGTCCCGCACTAGGGATAAATCCACGCTTTTTTTATAGGCAGTGTAAATTAGTAACTTATTAATAATAAATTATTATTATTTTTTATATGTATAATATTATTAGTATTTTAAAAAAATTTAAGATTATATCTCGAAAAATATGCAATATGAATATCATTTGTAGATAAGATGTTAGAAGTTTAATTAAATTGATTTATATTTGTTAAGTATATTTAAGAATGATAAAGTTACCGAAAATAGAAAGAGGTCATCTTTTGTTGACGTATAAAAAAAATGGGTCATCTGTAACCAGACGGAGGAAGTATTATCTAGTAATTTGATATAAGTGTAATATAAATAACATATATTCACACTTTATACTATTAGTAAGGTGCATGTTTTGTAAAATAATTAAAATGATTTTGAATTTGTTTGTACAATTTTTTTTATATACAACTTTTAATATATATATTATTTTTTTTACAAAAAAATCAACTTTATATTATTGAGATAATTTTTTATATTTTATATAAAAAAATCAAATGAAAATATCAAGCAAACAAACTTTTTTATTTAGAATTGTTATTAAAATAAAGTTTTAAATCATATGTTGATTTAATAGATCACACCTTTTATTTCAGATAAATGATCTTCAAATAAAGCTTAAGATTAAAATTAAGAGCAAAGTCAGCTTTGCTGAATTAATAATTAAGCATGTGAACTAATTTGTTAAAATAATACTTGATAAAATATTTTATAAGAAAAAAAAAAATCTATTATATAATCAAAATAGTAAAATTTTAAAAGTTTTGGTATGTTTATTTTTTTTATTTAATTTGACATTTCAAAAAATTAAAAATTAAAACCACAACAACAAACATCCCCTTTATTTGATTTGTAACTAAAATAAAAATAAAAATAAAAAAATTAATATTAAATTTACCCAATTTTTAATAAAAATATGTAATATTGTTTAATTAAAAAATAATATTTTTTTTAATGATGATTAATCTTATTCTTTTTTATAAATATTTTTCTTTTATTATCTTATTGTTATTTTTACACAAGAATCAAAGATAAAAATATACTATTGTTATCCTAAAATTTTATTTGGGATAAAATATTATTTAATTTTGGATAATTTATTATCAGACTTTGGATAAATTAAATCTTAGCTAAATCTAGATTTGGTAGGCTGTAAGTAGTATAAATTGAATTAAGGAGACTACCTCAAAGCTCCGGACTTCTTTACACATTTTCTTTTTTTTTTTTTTTCGTAATTTTAATTTTTATGCAATTTATTTATTTTTTCTTCAATTTACTTTCCTTCATGCTTTTATTTTTCTTTTAGTTTCTTTTAATTTCTTGTCACATTCCTCAACTTTTCTTGTTTTCTTCTCCTTTTATCATTGTCTCTTTTTATCTATTTTGTGATTTTTTACTATTGTGAACACGGTTCCGGATCCTTTTTGGAGGGAAACGGAGGACTCACCCGATTTTTTACTGGCTCGTTCCGATAAGCCGTCGAAAAATATTAATTATTATATCAAAACATAGTACAAATTAAAAAAAATAAATTAAAAAGTATTTTCATATATTTGTACAAAAAGTTTATAAATATTTTTAATATTAAGTACAATAACGCAAAAAAAAATAAATGTGAACCAGGCTGACGTAGAGAGTATTAAACTATTTTTAACTATTCACAAATAAATATATTTTCAAAATAAACGAAGATGGTATTCTTTATTATAAAATACTACTATGAAAATTAAAATTCTTTTTAAATAAATTTGATTCGAAACAAGAGCTAAACCCGAATCAACCCGCTATATATTATTAATTATTTTTTGTCTCAATTTAAAATATATTTTTACTATTTCCGTTCGGTTTTACTCAAAGTATCAATTTTTTTAGTAAAAGTAATTATATACTAATATCAAAATACTTCTAATTTTTATTTAAATTACAAGCATACCATTAAGCATACAATTACTTTCTATATAAAGTCAAATAGCAAAAAATATGAAAATCTCTTGCATACTTTCACTAACAAAAAATATCAAAAATTTGTGCACACTTGTACTAACTAATAAAATACTATCTCCGTCCACAATAAATCTACTTATTTACTTTTTACATGTTAATATTTGAATATTAATTATTTTATCCAAACGTATTACAAATGTAATACCTGGAGTTCAGTCAACGCTAGACCAACTCCCGTGAATGAGCCGATGTCAGGTTATCCAATACTAAATAGACTACTTATGTCAACGTACACATTCTTTTTTGGAATCCTTGTTCATTTGTAGAACTAGTCTAATTCAGATACACGACTTTTTGTGACTTACGGATCGAAATATCATGATAAATCAACAGAAAATAACAAAAATTATTTTATTAGTATTTTATAATATTAATGTAAATAATATAATTTCTTAATTTATTACAAAAACGACAGGGAATATAAAATATGCATCACCGCCGTAGTGCATTTCCATCTCTTCAAAACTCTCTCTCCATTTCCGCCGGCCATCGATTACAAATTTTCTCTCTTCAAAACAATTTTAATGTAAATTATTAAAAGTATATTTAATTATGACTATTAAAAATATAAATTAATATACTATTATTTTTTATTTTTTTTACAATTATATATTAAAATATTAAAATAAATTATATTTAATATTGTTAAATAATTATAAAAAAATATTTTTATTAAATTATAAACATATATCAAATAATTTGATTAAAAAAAATGTAAAAACAATAGTTAATACTCCAATCCATTTTTTCGTTTTAGTCCGTTCCATAACAAAGTATTCATTTTTTTTAGTAATCTACTTAACATTACAAATACCCTTACAACTTACAATATATTACATAAACGTCGTTACTTTTATATCACACGTACTAATAAAGTTATTTTAGTTATTTCTACTTTATTTTTACTATATCCCAATATAATACTAATATTTCTAAAATTACTTGTAAAAAGCAAATAAATATTTAGTTTCGAAACAGAGAGAGTATATTTATGATTGCTTAAAATATTACTGTACTAAGAATAAGAGCAGCAACGTAACTGTATCCACGAGATAGAACAAAACCATAAGAACAATTAATAAATTTTTATTTGAATTAAAAAAATTTAAATAAAAAAATTTCAATAGGTCAAAATTAATAAATTTTTATTCGAATAAGAATAATATAAATAAAAAAAATAGAACAAAAATATTTTTTTGCTCTAAAAATAATAAGCATTTTATTTATCCTCCTCAGTCACTTACGACCACACACACTCCGCCCCACCCCAAAATGGCGACACCTCTCCTCCAATTATCCCCTCTTCTCCTCCTCCCTCCCAAAAACCCTAATTATCTCATCCCCAAATCCCCACCGACTCTCCCCCTCCGCCGGAAAAGCAAGCGCTCGTCCGCCGTCGCCGCCGCCTATAAGGTGGTGATCGAGGAGGCGTCGGGGAAGACGACGGAGGTGGAAGTGGAGGAGGATGAGACGATCCTATCGAAGGCTGTGGAGATCGGGCTGGATGTGCCGCACGACTGCAAGATGGGCGTGTGCATGACCTGCCCCGCCCGGCTCGTCGCCGGCGCCGTCGACCAGAGCGAGGGAATGCTCAGCGACGACGTGGTGGAAAGAGGATACGCTCTGCTCTGCTCCTCCTACCCCAAATCCGACTGCCACATCAAAATTATTCCCGAGGAGGAACTTCTCTCGCTCCAGCTGGCCACCGCCAACGATTGATTCATTATGTTATACATTTTCAATTTCGATTTTGATTTTGTGTATTATTGCCTCATCCATTTCATGGTAGAAAGAAAGAAAGAAAGAAAGAGAAAGGAAGGTACCACCGTTTGCAAATATATCTTATATCCTACTTCGATTTTGTTTACACAACTTTTGGATATTCAAAATTTTCAAAAATATTATTATTCCTACAATTTATTCCTATTTCTTTCTTTAACAATTTATCAATTTTTCAAATATTTATTTTTTTTTTTATAATAGGATTGGCTAATTAATATTACAAATATTCTTATAATTGTCCACACACAAAATAAATGTTTACTTTTGGTGCAGTGTTTAAGAAATAATAGTATTTTAATTATAAAGAGTAGTTAAAAGTAATGTAATGACATTTTTGCCTTTGGTTTTTTTTTTGTGTAAAAGTAATAATGTGATATAAAGTAAGGGTAAAAGTAAGGTATTTAATAAAATATTTACTTTGAAATTGGACATTTCAAAATAGAAATATATATACTTTCTATCTGAACAGAAAAAATAATATATTACACAAATATCATTATATTTATATCATACAATATTAATAGAATTAATTTAGTCATTTTACCTTTATTTTTAGTTTAATCCTGACAGAGAGAGTATAGATATTCACAAAATATATATTATCCGACTCGGCTCAAAGATTTGAATTAAAAAAAAAAAATTATAAAGATACGTGAGTCTTAGAGGCGCCGACAGACAGACGAAGTATATTTTTATTTTTATAATTATCTATTACAATTAAAATTTTATTATTTTTTAAATTTTACATAATAAGTATTTTTTTAATTCAAAATATTTTTTTTTATATTTTTATTTGTTTCATTCAATTTTTTTTATTTAAAAAAAATAATTATTATACTTCTTACAGTAGAAAGGTTATTATTTATTTTTTACACGTGAATTTTTTAATATTGATATTATAATAGGTTATAGTGAAAATGATAAAAATATTATATTAGTGTTACGCACAAAAAATAATAATAATAATAATAATAATAATAATAATAATAAGGTATCCAGAGTCCGTCGGTGGGTTCTCAGTCGGTTGGTTCTCAATCAGATAAGCAAGTCAGATGGTCCGCGGTCGGGCAAGCAGGTCGGATTATCCGCAGTCGGATAAATGGGTCGGTTGATACAAAGGTTGGCTGCTATGGGGGTTGGTCGAAAAAGGAAGTCGGGCGAAGAAAGGTCTGTTGATAGGTCAGACGATTGAAGAGACCAAATAGTGGTCGTTTGATGGGGCGACCAGTGAGTCTTTTGATCTGGCGACCAATTATGTATCTAGATTGGTCGGTTGGTCGGTCGTTGGGTTATGCGGTTGGCGAGGCGGTTAAAGACATGTGTCAATGAAAGAGGCAGTTCTGAGTTCTGTAAGTGGTGGGAACGGTTGGTGAAACAGTGCGACGGTTCTGAACGTTTTCTTCAAAGAATATTTAAGGATTTGGATCATCATTTGGCAAGGCATCTTCAATCAACTTCAACAAAGCAAAGTCAGATTTGAGGATCACCACTTTAAATTTCATTTTTTTATTTTTCAGTTTATTTTCTGTACCATACAGTGTTTAGAGATTCCTAATCTCAGGCACTAATTAATCAAGTTTAAGGATATTTTCTATATCTTTGAATTTTACTTTATTTTTGTTGAAAAATTACATCAACAAATTAGCGACCACAGTGGGAGAAAATTGCTGATCCATATGGCAAATTTTCAATTCCACAGTACAGCCGTTGGCTTTATCACGGCAGAAGAAGCTTCCCAACTACGGGCCGAATTGACAGCAGGTTTTCGGCAAATGTACGACCAGCAGATAGCAAATCTGCAGGCAATACATGACGCAATGCAAAACTTGATGGAGCAATCAAAATTCATGTTGAATTCGGTTCCTGCACCGCCAGAAATGTCATGCCCCCAAACGGACAACGCCATTCCTGAGCATATACCCAGTCAGACAGACTGGAGACAGGACCAAACAGGAGGACAGGCCCGACCAGGGACGACCGAATGGACGGAGACAGGTCGGCAGGATCACAACGCCTGGACGGACCATAGTCGAAAAGACCACACCGACTGGACGGACCATGGTCGGGAGGACCACACCGAATGGACGGACCGTAGTCGGGACAACCACATCGACTGGATGGACAAAGGTCGGGAGGACCACGCCGACTGGACGAATACAGATCGGGAAGACCACGTCGACTGGACGGACAAAAATCGGGAGGACTACGTAACCTGGACGGATACAGGTCAGGAGGACCCCGCCGAATGGACGGATACAGGTCAGGAGGACCCCGCCGAATGGACGGATACAGGTCAGGAGGACCCCGCCGAATGGACGGACACGGGTCAGGTCGCCGACCATAACTTTTCAGGCGAGCAAAAGAATGACAGAACAACAGTGGCCGAAAGGAGGAATAAGTCGGACGGGAGTCTGAATACAATGGTAGTGCAAGATCGACCAACGTCCAGGCCAGCACCAGTCCGCGATAAATGGAGGTCGGGTCCAACGTAGCCTCAAAGGATGGAGGTCGGATCTGAGGCTGACGTAGCCTCGGATGCTAACCTACTAACTCCTAAAACATCATAAGAAATGATGCTTAGGAGTCTTGAGGAGGAGGCATGTTGTTACGCACAAAAAATAATAATAATAATAATAATAATAATAATAATAATAATAATAATAATAATAATAATAAGGTATCCAGAGTCCGTCGGTGGGTTCTCAGTCGGTTGGTTCTCAATCAGATAAGCAAGTCAGATGGTCCGCGGTCGGGCAAGCAGGTCGGATTATCCGCAGTCGGATAAATGGGTCGGTTGATACAAAGGTTGGCTGCTATGGGGGTCGGTCGAAAAAGGAAGTCGGGCGAAGAAAGGTCTGTTGATAGGTCAGACGATTGAAGAGACCAAATAGTGGTCGTTTGATGGGGCGACCAGTGAGTCTTTTGATCTGGCGACCAATTATGTATCTAGATTGGTCGGTTGGTCGGTCGTTGGGTTATGCGGTTGGCGAGGCGGTTAAAGACATGTGTCAATGAAAGAGGCAGTTCTGAGTTCTGTAACTGGTGGGAACGGTTGGTGAAACAGTGCGACGGTTCTGAACGTTTTCTTCAAAGAATATTTAAGGATTTGGATCATCATTTGGCAAGGCATCTTCAATCAACTTCAACAAAGCAAAGTCAGATTTGAGGATCACCACTTTAAATTTCAGTTTTTTATTTTCCAGTTTATTTTCTGTACCATACAGTGTTTAGAGATTCCTAATCTCAGGCACTAATTAATCAAGTTTAAGGATATTTTCTATATCTTTGAATTTTACTTTATTTTTGTTGAAAAATTACATCAACAATTAGTATTGGGTAATATAAAAGTAATGATATTTGTGTAATATAGTGTAAGTTGAAGAGTATTTATTATGTTAGGTCGACATTACAGTTATTAGATTAGGAAATTATAATCTGGTTTGGGACGGACAAAAATAGAAAGTGACAATCTTTCAATGGGACGAAAAGAGTACACTAATATCAAGCTATTTTTAATTTTTATTTAAATTATAAATATATCATTTTAAAAAAAACAAAAATATCAAAAAATTTCACATATTTTTAATAATTAATAAAATATTATTATTTTTTAATTTATTTCAAAATTTCACCAGACCTTTTGATTGAAGACTGAGAGTATTTATTTTAAAAATGAACACCAAGAGTATATAATTATATAGTCCCCCCGTCCCACATAATTTGTCTCTATTTTCTATTTTCTTCCGTCTCACGTAACTTGTCCTTTCTATTTTTGAAAATATAATTATACACTTTAATCGCATTTTAAATTTTAAATTTTATAATTTAATTTTAAATAAACTATTTACTTATATTAATCTTAATCTATAATTATTTTTACTAAATAATTATTATTTTTACTAATATACTTCTTAATTACTTACTAATTATATTTTACCTAAATTCTCGTGTCTACGGTAATACACTCATGTTACATAGGACCGGGGGTAAATTACAATTCTTTTTCCATTCCGTAATAGGAAAAGAGCTTCCTACCATGCACAATCACATTAGGGTGTGTTTGTTTGGGGGTTTGGATTTTGAGTTGGAATTTGAATAGTAAAAATTTTGAATTTGAATAGTTGTATGATGTGATATAAATAGGGGTTGACGTGATGTTTTGAATGTAAAATTGATTTTTAGTATAATATAAAAAATAAGAAATAGGTGTTTGATTTGATGTTTTTGGAGAAAAAAATTAGATGAATAGTGTAAATCCAATTCAATCCCCCAAACAAACACACCCTACGGATCCATATGCCATCCATTCGTAGGGGTGCTAATTCATATTTCCGAATTGTGTCCATGTCGGATTAAGCTTTGGGTATAATAAAAGATCTGTCAACCGAAATCCGACCTAAACTCAAAATTTAACCCAAAATCCTAGACCTAAACACATACGATTTTTTTTTTTGTTTCGAGCTCGGATTGACCCGATCTTTTGAAACCCAAAACACCCAAAGCCAAATTTAAAAATTTTCAAATCGAACAAGCTTGATTTTTCAGGTCGAATTTAATTTTGACACCCATATACAAATGTATCTTAGAAACACAATCCAAGAAACTTTAAAAAAAAATTTCATGCAATATAATTTCAATAGATTTTTTCTTTAATTTTTACTATATCTTTTTATATAATGATTTTATAAATTATACATAGTAATATAGCAATACATTAGAAATTTTTTGAGATATCCTAAATTTAAGAAAATTATATATGTATATCCATATATATTATGTAGACGGCAGCTACAGTGCTCAGCACTGTGCTGAACAGCACACACATAGCTAGCAAATAGCACAAGTTAATGTTAGTAACAACACATCGTTTATATTAATATAATACAAGCACAACATACACAGATAGTTGACAAACAACACACGGTAATGTTAGTGACAAGACATCATTTATATTTATATAATACAAACACAACACATGAATTAACAATACATCGTATAATCTCGTACAACACATGCAGTAGTTCATTTCAACACATGATATACACTTATACAACACACGTATAATTATAAACAAACAGTACATGTCATTGTTACAAACAACACATGATGTTTTTAGGCCATCTCTAATCCATCAACTCCATTTATCCATGTTTAATTCTAAATATGCAGTTGCTACCGTAATTTTAATCCAACCATAAATCTATTTTTCACTATTATTATTCAAATATTCAATTTTTCCTATTATTTTAAACTTTTTATTTTTATAATTTAAAATATTTCTTTTTAAATTTAGAAAAATAAAAAATAAATTTAAATATAAAAAAAAAATTTAAAAAAAAAGGAGCAACACCACCAAAATTGGCGTTGCATTGTAGCAACACCAAAAGATAGCGCACGAAGCCAAATCTGGCAACCCAGCGCCATTAATGGCGCTGGATTGGAGATGGCCTTAATAAAAGACTTGTATTGTTTTTGTATTTTATGGATGCCACGGTACTGAACCTTCCCCTATTATGTATGTTGGGCTGAGAATCCCCTGGCGGATACCCCATCAACTTCAAGGTTGTCAAATGTTAAAACCTAAACATACTGTGCAGATACCTTAATACACACAACATTAAAGTAAATGGTATTTTGTCTGAGGAATACTGAAACTAAATACTCACCGCACAGAACCTTGGCCTATATGTAGGGATCCTCCAAAGTTCAAAATGGCAGCAATCTTTTGCATCCTTTACAAGAAAAGCTTTCAATCATTGATGTCTTGCACAAGAGCCATTCAGGTCCTAAGATATTCTGTGAAGAAAAAACTGTCCATGTGTTTAGAATATGTCTGAATCAATATATTGTAATAGCACATAACAAATAAACAGATGATATCAAATTTATATTAGTCCACACAACGCATCACAATTGATTTCAGTACATATTATATGTTATTACAGTACAACACAGACAGCATATATTATGTTGTTTCAACAACAATGGTGCCGATTAGCCCCGATCATCACCATAACCAATGACGGCCATTGTTGGCATGAAGATCATATACTATAGAACAACAAACGACCGAAAGTGCTGACATAGGACAATAGAAAACATATAAATGAATCTACCAAATGCAACAATATAATCTGTCATTGAATTCAAAATACAATCCGTAGATGTGAATTAAATCAAAAGAACATGCATCCAAGCAAGACAAAAATTCAAGATGAGCAAAGGTAGAAACTTCCTATAGTTAGAAATTACACAATCCAAGCATGAACCTATACAATAGATATCTCCCGGTTTTTAAGTTTTAACCATTACAGCCTACAGCTTCCAAATGATCGTGCCGATAAACAATATTCAAAAATAAGATGCCGCAATAATAACTTGCACACAAGACAGTAAAACGAAATACAGATTATATAAGTTACTGAACCATATGAGATCACAATATAACAATAAGATCCAGGAAGGCATTACAAAGTCCTAAAATCATCAAAATCATTTTCGCTCTTCGACTCATCAAGAAAAAGTGTTGAAATGTTCTCATGAGCTTATGTAAAGTGACAATTCCAAATTATATACAGTCACCATTAGTTGCTGAACTTAAAAACCAGTTACAGTAAAAATATCAACAATGGCAACAAATTAGTACAAACGAGAAGAAAATCAAGTGCAATATTCCAGAACCGAAAGACAAAATTAACTTTACCAAGCATCTTACTGCCTAGGCATTTACCTTAATGGTAAGAATCACCGGCATCTTCTCCTTAAGGTCAACCCAAATTGTAATGGTTGCTAGCCATTCTAAACAGAAAAACCTTAAAAATTGCTTCCAAAACAGATTGCAGTCGATTGCCACTGTTTACCTCAAGATCATTTATTATACCAATAATTCAATCTCCAGATCGCCTTCGGGTAAGGCCCTTAGCTTTTCGCAATTTAATTTGCTTAAGTTTCACCTTAACACAAATCCCTCCATCAATAATCGACTTAAGAACAACTTGCAGCTTGCCCTCCAATTTCTCCCCTCTTCGTGGCGTGTACACGGCATTGTGGATGTCATCTTCCAAGGCTCTCCGAGCCAAAACTTCCCCGACTGCGACGCAAGCGCTCCTATTCTTGCAAGAACTCATGTCGAATTTCATGTCCTTGGAAATTGAATGCGCCACAGCCACAACTTTGCTCGTTGCACGATGGATTATGCTGGCTCGCACCGAGCCCTTTGTTATGTGAATATCCAAACAAAACGGTTCGTGGTAGGGTGCTGTTAGTTGATTAAACGTCGGAACTCTTTGCTTCTTTTCAACACAAGAATCCTCCTCTTCGTGTATTTGAGAATTCCATTTGTTATCCCTATCAATTGGCAATGACTCCATTTTACTTCTCTTGATTGCTGTAGTATGATCCTTCTTTGACGATATCTCATCCATTACCTTCGATTTTGCTGTACTTTCTTTCGAAAGTTCTGTAGATTTTGCTGTACTTTGTTTCGGAACTCTTTCATTTCTTGAGGATTTCTTCCCATGGAAATCAAACTTGTATTCTTCATACTCTTTGGAATCCTTATCAAGCTTGTAAAACAAATTTCCACGAATTCGCATATCCTCAATGGAATCAAAATCAAAATCAGCACCCGAATTAACAAAACTTTTATCACTGCAGCCGTGATTCAACGATGAACTCGTTTTCAATGATTTATCCTCGTTTCTGCCTCTCCAAGCATCAGCTAATGCCGACGAGACGCGCCAAGTCTCATAATCAACTAATTCAATTTTGCAATCAATTAAATCACACTTTGGGAGATCCGTAATTAATGGCGATAAGTGAAGCCTATTGCCGACAGAACGCTGCTCCCTACCCTGTTCGATAGATGTCGAAGCCTTTGAAGAAGAAAACTTACAGAGTAGTCGCGACGATAGAAGCGGATTTGTGATTGAAGTGAAGAAAACGGTCCTTCTGAGCAAAGAAAACGCCATGCCGATGGATTGAAAGGGGTTTTGATTTTGCAGTGCGGAATTTCATTGAAGAGTAGTTCGCCGGAATAGCAGTCTGTCTTCACCGTCTACTCTTATTGTTTGAGGAGACATAATTCATCGGCGGGGTGAAGAAGAAAGGAAAGAAGAAGAAGAAATGAAAGAAGAATGAATAGAACGCAGCGGCTTTATTGTTGTTGAGGTAGAGGCTTGTATTCTTTGTAATAATTTATTTATAACTAAATTACATACATAATTAATAATGGTGCAATTGTATCTTACAATTATTTTATTCTTTTTTACTATTTTAAATAATTAAAAAATATATATATTTTTTTTGTTAAATTATAAATATATTAAATAATTTGAACAAGTAAATTAACATATACTCCCTCAGTCCAGTTAAAAAATATACATATTTCTATTTTGGGACGTCTAATTACAAAGTAACCATTTCATTAAATACCCCATTTTTTCACAGATACCCCTACTTTACATCACATCATTACTTTTATACCAAAAAAGTAAAAGGCAAAAATGTCATTTCACTACTTTTACCTGCACAGTATAATTAAAATACTATTATTCATTAATCTCCGCTCCAAAAATAAATGTATACTTTTAACTTAGACGGAGGGAGTATAATAAATATGTAAATTTTATACAAATAAAAATGATAACGACACAACTACAATATTAAATTTAAAATTTAACACAATCTTTGTGTTGTTTGAATATAGTAAGCTCATACTATAATCTTACAAACACATGACATTCTAATATTAGTATTATATTAAGTTGTAGTATAAAGACAAAAATACCCAATTAGTATGAAATTTGTGCAATATATTATGGTATTTATTATATTATATAGATAGTACAATTAAAAAATGATAATTTTGTTTTGAAATCGACCAAAATAGAAAATAGTAATTCTTTCAATAATGGAACTTTTTTTTAATTAAAACATAGCTAAATAATGAATCAACCATTTTACTTTGTATAAAACTTAAATAATTAAATGAATGTTTATAACTAAAAATTAACTTTAAATAAAAAATATGTTTTTTTTTTTTTTTTTTTTGCATATTTTAATTTAACCCATAAATTTTACGTAATAAATAAAACACAAACAAATACTATGCAATTTACCCAATAAAAACACAAAACAAAACAAATCAAATCCTGAAAAACAGTATTTGTAACTCGAATTTCTGAATAGTAACCATTCTAATTTAAATCCAACATCCAAATTGAGCACAAATATTTCATGACACAAACCTAAATCCCCACCCAAATTGATGATTATAATGATGAAGATGATCAAAATGCTAAATACTTAAAATGTAGATGATGCCCATACCCAATAATGTTTCTTTTACTTAATTAGTAGCCCTTTCCTTATATCTCTATCTATCTAGCCATCGATCACCACTCTTAAAATAGCTTTTCACAACCACCTAATACACACTCCTCTACTACAAGTCTTTCAACAATCAGAAAACGAAAAATACAGCCTGCCCATGTCAAGGTACTCGTAGCAGTAGTCGTAGTAGTAATTAAAGAGTATAAGGATTAACACACAAGTGGGGGGGGGGGGGGGGGTTCGGGGTTGGCGGGGGGCGTAAAACCGCTACCGTTAAAAGGTTAGTACAACGTCGAATATTACAGACCCAGAAACCACATTTTACCGTAATCAGTAAGTAGAGTTACCTTCGAAGCAATCGACCCATTGTCATCCCGTCTCTATCAGTAGTAAGCTTGCTGGTAAGCCGGCGCCATTCCATTGCTGTACCCTCCGTAGGGGGCGGGGAAGCTGACCGGAGACACAGGGTAGGACCCGACCATGGGGGGCGGGGGAGGGGGGGCCTCGGGGGAGTAGGCGAAGGGGGGGCTCCGGCTGCCATGGCCGTACACAGCTGGGACTGCAGGGTATGCGGGGACAGGGGTGGGGGGGTACTGGGGGGATCTCATGTAGGTGGGGGGCGACGGGAAGGACGAGACGTAGGCGTTGGTCGAACGGCCGGCCTTGGCCGGGGGCATGGGGCCGCCGTTGTTGGCGCGTGTTCTTTTTGCGGCCGGGCTCGCCGGTTTCTTCTTCTCAATCTTGGCCTTCTCTAATTGGTCAAGGCGTTTCTTGAGGTTGTCCGGGGGGAATTCGGCCTCGAGCTTGTACTCTTCGATGCACTTGAGAACTGCGCGGATTGCTGATTGCTCCTTCTTGGCCGCCATGTGCTGATCAAGACATTTGGAATAAGCAAAAGTTAATGAACAATTACGAAGTGCATAGTCAGCCATTTTGGTAATGCGGGCAAGAAGAAAACATCGAAATTCCATCAACTACGTGGGTCTCCCAACCGAAAGGGGTCAGTAGATTGGGGGTGGGGTGGGGGGTGGGGGGGTCCATTTTTCAGGAAAAGCAATCACATGGAATGATTTAATTCTGTAAATGTTTAAGAGATGGGATAGAAAGTAAGCACAGAAACTCAAGAAGAGTGAATACCCCCCTCGACTTCGAGGGTGCCAAAATACCTTAAAACATAAACGGTAAAATTGCTCATAACTCCCTCGTAATTTCGAAATTCAGCGTAAAATCTACCTGTAGTTTAAAAATTGCATAGCGCCCCTTTACTTTAAAAAACATAGCATGAAACCCACCGCCATAAAACCTCCTTTGTGTGATGAGAAGATTTCCTATCTATATTTTTGCATTGCGGGTTTCATGCAACACTTTTTAAAGTATAAGAAGGCGAAATGCAATTTTTAAAGTAAAGTAGGGGATTACGCAGAGTTTCGAAACCACATAAGGGTTTCATGCAACGTTTTAGAACGTACAAGGAGACATTATACAAATTTCAAAGTAAAGTAAAATTTATGCTGAATTTCGAAACCACAAGGGAGTTATAAACAATTTTGTCAAACATAAACATGCTACTATACTGCAAAGATTAAGGGTCGGAATTTATTTTTTTTTTTTTTACTTCGAAATCTCACGATTCTCTATAAAATGTATTATGTTTCCTCACAAAATATAGTATAATTCATTGCTTAAGCATAAAAGACAGACAAACCAAACACACCCTAAGTATATGCAACCTTAGCATAAATGATATGCATCACCAATATAGAGTTCAAAAACTCACTGCAGCACGGCCTGAATTGTTGGGATCCTCCAAAATCGAAGTGGCGGCTTTTTTTGCATCCTTGAGAAAGGCTTTCAGCAGTGGGACAGGCGGGAATCGGTCGGTGAGGCCAACTTCATACGTAAAATGTACAGCATCAACCTGTTGTCCTCTTCCAATTAATTCCTCAATCATATCTGCACCAGAAGGCATCGAAGTACTGAGACAATCTTGCGAACTGATGTATTAGGTATTACATTATTGGCACAAAGATCGTATACTATAAAACAACTAAGACGGAAAGATAAGACAAAGACACTAGAGAACATATACATGAAAGATAGGACTACATTGAATCAGAAGAGCATGCATCCGAAGACATTAGAAAATTATGGTCGCACAGCTATAACCTTCCGATAAATGAGGATAAACCTAGCATTAAACTTAACACAACATCTCTCTTGTTGTCGAATTTAACCATGTCCATCTAGAGCTTCTAAAGAATCATACCGTTAAATAATATTAAAAAAATAAGATGCCATAATAAATTGCACAAGGGCTTTAAGAAAAACCAAACATTAAATGAAATACACCTAGTGTCGTCACAATTACTAGTCATCAGATTTCCTGCAGAAAAGAGAAAGTGTAAAAAATTCCTAATTACGCAAGTCGTGGAGAAATTAGCAAATAGTTCTGCTGACCAATCAAAGAAAAGAAATGAGAGCCCTCGAATCCCGAATTATCACAATTGTTTCCCATGCTGGTCACTAAAGATTAATCAACTCTGGACATAAACTGAAGGGTCAACTCTAATCCTCATCTTGGAAGCTCCTACAATGCAACTCACTAAGTTGCAGCCTACTGATCTTCAGAAAAATGCTTATCTAGAACTAGTTTGTGAACCTCATTATAAACTGTTGTTCACAAATTTCAGATAATGTTAAGTTACTAAACCTTAGGAGACCACAAATTACACATAAGATGCAGGAAAGTAATCTAAATCTGTAAAATCATCATTATCAATGTTTTGTTTCTCGACGCAGCCAAAGAAGTGTGATGTGATCATTCATTCCAAAATCAATCTACTGTAAAAATTATTATTCGCCATACCTCAAAAGCCAATTACCATAGAAACATCATCAAATGCAAGAAATTAGGGCAAACAATCAAGAAATTGGCAAGAGCAATTTTCCAGAACCGAAGCCAAGAAATAACTTTACCGGGCATGGTATCGCCTAGGCCAAGTGAAACAGCAAGCTTCGGCATTTGCTTCCTCCACGCTGAGGCTACAACAAGCTTCCTATACAAATCCACATCGTCGTCCTTTACAATTCCAAAAGTCACCAAATGCTGCAGGAAAGTATGGACATCAGGCGTTTTTACATTCTCAATTCCTCCCCTCTCCTCCAGGCTCTTCTTCCACGTTTCAGCAATCTCCTCAGCCTTCACCTTAATGGTCGGAGTCACCAGCATCCTCTCCTTCCCCAGTACGGGATCCACCATGACCGGAATCAGGGACTCCAACAACAACACGCAAGCCCAACCCAAATCGTAACTGTTGCTAGCACTGCTAAGAGGAAAAACCTCGGAAATTGCTTCCAAAACGAATCGCGGAGGATCGATGCACTCAGCCAAAGCCTTGGGCAGTTCCGATCTGAACAGCTCCAGTTCCTTCTTCCGAGAGGTAACGAAGATCCAGAACTTCTTCGCAGCCATTTTATGGCAGAAACTCTTCAATTTCATCAACAATCCTTCAGAATCATCGACCTCCGGCTCCTCAGTTTGGCTCTCGGACATGGACCTCTTGGTCGTCCTCTCCAGCGCTTCGAAAGCAATTGACATAGATTTAGAAATGGATGACTCGCGAGTGTCGAGAGCCTTGAGAGAGAGCTGAGTCTCGCTGTTCAGAGCCTGGAATTTGGCCTTGAGCGCATCCGATTTCCTGATGAGGTCCTGCTCCAGAGAGGAGAAATGATCGGACAATTCCTTCCAGAGCAGAGTACAGCTCGTCATCAGAGATGTCTGGCGCTGGAAATCGTCGAAGCTCGGCGGCGGCGGCGGCGACGGCGGATTAGTCACCTCGCCTGGATCAGGCAGCGAACCCATGGTGGAAGGAGGGGAGGAATTGAGAGTCTGGTCTGGCAACTCGGACCAAAATTAAACCCTAGAGAGAGGGGGGGTGGGGTGAGGGGGGAGGGAAGGGGAGGCGAGAAAGTGACGGTGGTGGGGGGCGATAAATTAAATGGCAAGGGAATGGGCTGGGACTAACGTGCGCCGGGGTGCGCAGTGTAAGAAAACAGGTATTATTATTGCATCACACTGTGTGACTGTGCAGTACATACCACTGCACTGCATTATTATGGTGGCGTTCAAAGTAGAACCTTTGTTCTGTACTTTTTTTTTTTTTTTTTTTTTTTTTTTTTTTTATGTAACAAAATATTTTTGGAATTTGGGTGAGTTTTTTGGTAAAAAAAAAATATTTTTTTATTATTAAAAATTTATATAATCGGCATGCCGAATCAATATATGCTATAGGAGTAACCAATATACTCTCTCCGTCTCATAACAAAGTATCCATTTTTTCATTTTAATCCGTATCATAACAAAATATCTATTTCATTTTTTAGTAACGGTACTATCTAACTAACATTACAAATATCCTTACAATTTACAATATATTACACAAATATCATTACTTTTATATCACACATATTAATAAGGTTATTTTAGTCATTTCTATTTTATTCCTACTATATCCCAATATAATACTAATATTTCTAAAACTACGTGCAAAAAGCAAATGGATATTTATTTATGGGACGGAGAGAGTATATCCATATATACTTCAACATCTTTGTACTACAGTATATATTATATTATAATTCAATATATGCTATCACAACATAGTTAAAATATACTCCCTAGTCCCTATGTCTCATATCTATATATCAATTTGCTTTTTGTAAGGAGTTTTAGAAATATTAGTATTATATTATGATAAAGTAGAAATAAAGGTAAAAAGACTAAATTAACCATATTAGTATTGTATGATATAAATGTAATGACATTTGTGTAATATATTGTAAATTAGAAGAGTATTTGTAATATTAGGCAGATAGTACAATTACTAAAAAAAAAAAAAAATATTTTGTCATGAGACAGAACAAAATAAAAAAAAATAAATAAATTATTAAGGAGCGAATGAATATATATATATATATATACATTGATCACTCATGTGACAGAGGACCAGGAGTACCATACTAACCAGATCATTGCATGATCTATCATGCAGCCTTAAAAATTAGTATTTTTTGCATCGCCAAATTTATTTACATTTTTTGTTTTTTTACAAAGTCAAATATTTAATATTTAACTATTATGTTTCACTCGACATTTATTTATCATAATTGTCACTGCTGTTATTATATTCCCCCTCTTTATTTCATTTAATTATTAACTATATTTTCAAAAATATCTTAATTATTTTTTACTTTTTTTAATTTTTTCAATAAAATATTTTTTTTTAATCTTCATGTCAACTTTAAATGTACTCATTTTTGCGGATGGATAGAACATTTCTTTTATCTCAACTTAATAGTATTATTTTTATCATTTTTTTATTATACATTTCTATTATAGTAATCATTTATTACCATTATAATATCCTTAGTTTTAATATAAATTACAAATATATCATTATATATACAATTAATTTATATATAAAATACAAAAAATAAAATTATCAAAATTATCTTACATATTTTAACTAACTAATAATCCATACATTAGATCGAATAGGGTGCATTATACTTTTTAATTTACCCTATAAGTAATAAAAATTAACAAATAAAAGTTACGTTCATATTAAAAATATGCCAAAAAGTATACAACAATTGGATAACAACGAGCCATTACAAAAACTATATTTGAGATAGTCTTAAATATAATACTTTTTCCGGCTTAATACAATAGTCTTATTTATTGTTTTTGTCTGTCTCAAAACAATAGTCTTATTTCCATAAATAACCATATCACTATAAAATTACCCTTACTCTTTCATTATTATTACACAATTGTCACTACCTTTTATACTAATACACTCACAAAGGCAAAAATGTTTTTTACCTATACTTTTTACCCACTATCAATATAATACAAATATTCCTTAAATCTCGTATCCAATACAATTAAGACTATAATTCCGAAATAGAGGGAGTACTATCTTTTTATAAGTGCATCTCCAAATCCAACTGATGCAATGCCAAATTTTGGCATTGTTTTATTTTTTATTTTTACTTTTTTTTAATTTTTAAAATTTTATTTTAAATTATAAAAATATTGAATATTTGAAGAATAATAGTGAAAAATAGAGTTATAGTTGGAGTAAAATTATTGATAATTGGAGTTGATGGGTTAAAGATAGGGATGGAAATAGGCCAAAAGGCTTGGCCTGTTTGAAAAATATATAGCCTGAGCCTGGCCTAAAGCCTGAAAAAAAAATAAAAATTTAAAGCCTAAACCTGGCCTAAAGCCTGAAAAAAAAAGAAATTTAAAAGCATAAACCTGACCTTTTTGAAAGCTTGGTCTGGCCTACGAGCCTATTTAAAAGGCTAAATAATAATTTTTTATTATATTTTTGTAAATTTAATATTATAACAAAAAAAATAAAAAAGATACAATTATTTACATTATATATATAAAAAAAAATTAAAATTATATTTTTTCAATGACAAAAATAATAATTTTAGTTTGTCCTATAAAGTAAAATATATTATAGTAATAGTTTGCAAAAAATATATATATATATATTACAATTCATAAAAAATAAATAAAAATCATTATTTAGAATTGCAAGTGTGTATACACCAAACGAAAGCTAATAGAAATCACTGAATAATGACATTAAAAAAATATGTATTTTACATCAATTTATTTTCATTGAGTTGATTATTATCACAAAAAAAGACACACAACAATTAACTAAAAAGTAATTTTGAAAAATTCTACAAAATATTTAGAAATTAATAACATAGCTCCACCAAGCACAAGAATTGAGACTATTTCAATTAGGGTAAATAAAACAAAAAAATTACAGTGGGAAGCAATATGTGTGCAACAATCGTTCATATATTGAAATTTTAAATTAGCATAAAAATTGTTTTTTTTTTTGTTTTTGTTTTTTTTATAATAAATTTATAATTAATTTTTTTTAAAAAATATTATAATATTTTTATATATTATTATTAGATATAAAACTATTCTTAATTAATAATAAAGAGAAAATATTTTTTTATAATAATAATAATATTATTATTAAACAGGCCGGCCTGTTTGATAAAAATGTTTTTTTTTTTTAACATAAGCCTATTCTATTTAAATAAAAAAGCTTTAATGAAAATTTGAACCTGGCATTTTTTATAAATAGATCAGATCAGACCAGACTTTGTACAAGTCCTAGGCCCCTGACAGACAAGGTGGCCTATTTCCATCCTTAGTAGGAGATGGCCTAATCACTTATATATTTTACACAAAATGGTAATATGTAATTAATAAAATAATTAAAATGAACAAAATACTATTATATTAAAAGAAAAAAAAATGTTCTACTAATTTAAAGTTTGATTTAAATCTTTTATTTTATGTTTTTAATAAAAATAAATTATGTTTTTTTATAAAACATTATATTCAAACCGTTACCAAATAAAAATGAAAAATCAAACTCCAAATGAACTCTTTAATGTGATTAATCATATCATAACATTTTATTTGTAAATTATTAAGGGTGTGTTTGTTTCGTAAAATAATTTGAAGAAATATTTTTTATATGGGGTATAGAAAATTGTTCAGAGAATGTAAAAATAATGAATATGTATAATATATTACTCCCTCCATTCCACTTACCGTGTCCAACTTTTCATTTCCGCATATCCAACTTTTTCCGTCACTTTTCTTTTTGGAAAAGATTTATACACTTTAATTGCATATTAAATTTTTAATTTATAATTTTTAAAATTTTAATTAGAGTAATTAGTTCTATTAATTTTAATCTAAAATTATTTTTATTATACGGTAATTATTTCAACTAGTACATTCTTAATTATTTACTAATTATACTTATCGTAAATTCTCGTGTCTACGATAAAGGGGACACAAAAGTTGGGATGGAGGGAGTAGTAATTTTGAAAAAATGTGTCAAAAAAAATTAAAAAGAACAAACCCTTATTAGTGTTTTAAAAAAATATATATAGTATACAATTCTCTAAAAACACATTTCTCAAAAAAAAAAAAAAAAAAAGCTAATATATTACAGATGTATTTATTTTTTATATTACTTATATACAATTTTTTTATATCTCAAATAAAAAATATTTTTAAAATTATTTTACTAAATAAACAAAAATTATACTGTTCAAAATGCACTTTCTTTTCAAGTTGATTTAATTTGGAAATTTAATTTTTTTTATGTAAATAAATTTGATAGCCCCTCGGTCTATTTTAACTGATATATTTATTTTTGATGCAAAATTTAAGAAATAATAATATTTTAATTATAAAAAATAGTTGAAAGTAATATAAAAATAATTTTACTTTTATTTTTTTTATATAAAAATAACTGATTGATAGTTACGTAAGAATATTTGTATAAAAAAGAAGTTTATAGTTAATAAAAAAATAATTATTATTTTGTAATTGAACAACCCAAAATCAAAAAATATATATATTATGAGTGGATAAAAATATATCATATATTTTGGAAAATGAAAAAAAAAATATTTGTTTCAAATAACATATAGTTCATATGATAAAAATATATAAGATTAAAAGAAATACACCTCTTTGACTCTTACTATTAATCTTCGGAAAAAATAGTTCAACCACTTAAGTTACAATCTCTTCAAACAAAACTTCATACATAAAATGTACTAAAATCTCCATAGGGTGTCAAAATCTCTAGGTTTTAGTTTTATTGATGTAATATTTTTGCGAATCTGTATAGTTTTTTATACTCTCTTCGTTCTCTAACAAATTATTCATTTTTCCATTTAAGTCCGTCTCATAACAAAGTATCCATTTCTTTTTTTAGTAACTGTACTATCTACCTAACATTACAAATACCCTTACAACTTATAATATATAACATAAATATCATTATTTTTATATCACACATACTAATAAAGTTATTTTTTAGTCA